AAAGGAAAATATTGGACAAATCAGAAGATGAATGCAAAGAGGCAGATAACAGTGTAGACTTTAAAGGTGGTGGTGAAATCAGCAAAATCTCTGATTGAATCTTCAGATGATAGCCTACAATTTTCTCAAATAATAATATATATTTCCAAAGACAGAAAGGAAACATGGCATTAGCATCCAATTAGTTATTCACTAGGAAGGACTTCCTTATTCAATATCTTGCAACAAGAATTCTAGACCACCTATTTTGCTAAAAGGATGTGTGACAGTATTTTTTCATCTTATATGACGTTGTATACCAAAATGTATTTTATTACATGGTTCATAAGTGGACAAATGCTGAAGGCAGGTGTGTATATGAAAGTTATTAGAAGGAAATAGATGATGTAGAAATGAAAAAATTCACTGGATTGACCATTCTAATTGGTGCTTGTAAATCTAAAAATGAAAATGTTTTACAATGACAAACTCTCTTTAACAAAATAACAGCTGTCAAAGGTTTTAAATATTCAAATATTGCATTCTGACAATGCAAGGCAATAGTATTTGAGAACCTATTGGCAGAAGAGAGAAAAGATGCCTATAGTTGCTACTTTGAATAACTGTTAGCCTAGAATGTTGTATGTTGTATCTCTTAAAAATATTGGACATAGTTTTCCTTACAACTTAGAAGGTGAAATCCGATTGCAGTGTTTCAAAGACTTTACTACTACTACTCTTTGTAGTAGTTATACTTCAAGACAACTTAAAAATAAGCACAGAACCTCTCTTTAAATTACTATTGAGCTTGAAGTAACTAATATACTTGACCAACTGTAAGACTGCTCAGCTCAGATGGCACTATTTCTGTGAAGCCTTCTCTCCTTCCTCTGTGTTCTGTGGCACCTCTCAGCTCTGTGTGGAAGCACACATACCACATTATTGTCCAGGTGTTGAAAGAGTTCTGCTTAAGTTTGGGATGGGGAGGGGCATTATTAGGTCAGCATCTCTCAAGGCCCTAATTATATTATTTGTGTAAAGTGGTTATTTGTTTAATGTAGTATTTATATGATGTCATATAAATAAATGCAGTATTTATATGGTGCAGTATTTATATGGTGTAGTGGTTATTTGTTTAATGTAGTATTTATATGATGTCATATAAATAAATGCAGTATTTATATGGTGTAGTATTTCTATGAAGAGCCTGTCCCACAAAGAAGGAAAATTTTTCTCCCATTTAAGAAAAAATCCAAACAAAACTTTCTGTTCCACCCATAAAACAAAACTAACCAAACAAGCAAACAAATTGTCATTTTTATTATGTGACTTAATTAACAAGTGGTCTACAGAAGAAAAATACTAATTGCTCACTACTGATAGTCAAGCAGCCTTGGAATAATGGATTTGTATAGTAGTCTCCAGTGGAATTTAAATCATTACCTCGTTAAGTTTGGTGACATAAGACCAACATCTAGGCTGGAGGGCATTGCAGGTGTTGGTGACTGATACTATCCTAATTGCCAGGGAAGTCCCAATTTCATGTACTCTGTTTTGTTGTTCACACACTCACTCATATTCATGAGACCCGTATGCAGAGTATTTGCCGTTTCACTGTTTGTTTTGATAGTGTATTATGTAGAGTGAGTGGCTTTTTGTACATGACTGCGTAAGAGTTGGTAAGAGTCTATTTGTCACAAAATGCCTTTGCTTCCTGCAGTAATCATGCTTATATCTCCCACCGTTGAACACTTTGGGGTTTAGTGGCATCAGGAGTAGACTTAATGAAATGCACATTTGTTATATGATGGCATGGTACCTGGGGTGTATCAATCGTGCCATGCATTTCTTAGCACAGAGCAGGACTTTTAGATAACATGAAATAGAATATGTATATTCTGGTGGGGGCAAAGGTAGAAGGACACTTGGAAATGATGAAGGAGAAGCAAGAGGAGTGGTAAAGGAGCTCCTAGATATATACTTAAGACAGAACTTACTTGTGTAAACTGATGATGGTTTGTTCTTCCTCAAGAAGGAAATCAGTATTATTCACAGCGATTTCCCCCCCAAGTTCTGCACATAAATTCTATTTTCATCTTGTTTGCCTGGTTTAGTTTGGGTTTTTTTAAATGGGGAAATTGGGTTAGTTCTCAATGAATGCTCACGATAGTTAGCAAAAATATAATGGATTATTGATTTTAAGAAATGATTCCTTTTTTTCTTTTTTAAAAATCAATTATTGAAGTTTAATTTATATACAATAAAATGTAGTTCAAAAATTTCTGTGGTACCATCCCCAAACTGACTACTCATTTTTTCTACTTAAGGTAAATATTTACAAACTGAAAAAGATAATGCTTTGGAAAGGTGAGAGGGGCCCTAAGGTAGGAGGTAAAAGAATGGGCATACTGACATGTAAATAGAAGAATGTAAATCTAACAGTTTTCACTTTAATAAGGAAGGAACATGTTTAATTTAGTATGTTTATAGTAAATATAAGGAATAGATGCTGAATTGTGTGTGTGTGTGTGTAAATTTTTTTTGGGGGGGGGGTTGCTGGCCAGTATGGGGATCCGAACCTGTGATGTTGTAAGGTTGCACTCTAATTGAATTATATTTTTTAAATTGGCATTTATCTTGGAGGCCCTACGATCTCTCCTGTAATTGTTTTTCAAATTTTTTGCACATGATGGAATTTACTGAAAAGTGTACATTTCAATGAGTTTAGACAAATGTATGTGGTATAGCTAGCACCGTGATCTAGAGATAGAATACTTCCCTTACTCCAGAAGGCTTCTTTTTGCCCTTATTTTACCCTGAAACCACTGATTTTTTTCTGTCCCTATAGTTTTGTTTTCACTGCAGTGTCAAGTAAATGGAATCATATGATACAGTAGTGTTTCACATCTAGCTTTTTTCACACAGCATAATGCTTTTTAGGTCCATCTATGTTGTTGGGTGTATCACTGGTTCCTTTTCATTGCTCAGTAGTATTCCATTGTATATATAGTATTCCATTGTATAAATATAACACAGTTTCTTTATCCATTCACCAGTTGGTGGACATTTAGGTTGTTTCCAGTTTGGGGCTACTAAGAATAAAGTGGCTATGAACGTTCATGTGCAAGTCTGTGTAGACATGTGCATTTATTTCTCTTGGGTTACTGCCTAGAAGTGGGATTGCTAGATCATACATGGTAACTCTGTGTTCAATTTTATAAGAAACTGGCATACTGTTTTCTCGAGTGGCTATACCGTTTTGCATTCTCACAAGGATTGTGTGACAGTTCTACTTGTTCTGTATCCTTGCTGGTCTTTCTTAAGTAGCCATTCTACTGGGTATGTTAGTGGTAGATCATTGTGGCTGTTTTAATTTGGATTTTCCTAATAACTAATGATATTGAGCATCTTTTCATATACTTATTGACCATTCATTTATCTTCTTTGATCAAATGTCTGTTCACATCTTTTACCCAATTTTTTACTGGGTTGTTTGTCTTACTGTTGAGTTGTAAGAGTTCTTTATATATTCTGAGAAGAAGTCCTTTCTCATATGTGTGTTTGCAAATATTCTCTACCAGTCTGTGGCTTCTGTTTTTATTTTCTGTGTGGTGTCTTTTGAAGAACAGAGGTTTGGTAAAATCTAATTTATCAATTTTTTTATTTTATGGTTCATGCTTTTTACATTTTATCTAAGAAATCCTGTCTAACTTAAGGTCATAAGATTTTTTCCTGCTTTCTTTGAGAACTTTTACAGTTCTAAACTATATATTTAGGTCTATGATCTGTTTTGAGTTAATTTTTATATATGGTGGGAGGTAAGGTCCTATGTTCTTTATATTTTGGGGTTTTTTGCATATTTTTCAAGCACCATTTATTGTAAAGACTGTCCTTTTCCTATTAAATTACCTTGGCACCTTTATTAAAAATCACAGTTTCCCACACCAGCCAGCCACCCCCCTCCCCCAAAAAAATCAGTTGACCTTACATGCGTGGTCTATTTCTGGACTTTATTCTGTTCTGTTTATCTGTATCTCTACCCTTATACCCATACCACACTATCCTAATAAATTTATAGCTCTTTGAAATTGAGTCATGTGAATCCTCCAGCTCTGTGGTCCTTTTTCTCAAAATTATTGTAACTATTCTAGGTCCTTTCCATTTCCCAATAAATTTTAGAATCAGCTTATCAGTTTCCTCAAAGGAAGCTCTCTATTTGTGTGATGAATAATAGTAGCATGTTACTAGTATCAGTTCTTAGCAGTCCTAGAATAAGCCATTCTTAATCATAGTTTGTTTCTTTGTTTTGCAAAGTGTTTAATTTGGCCTTTTCTATCTATATTTATAAGTAAGATTTAACCATATTTGCTTTTATTTTGCTTTCCCTTCTTTGTGCCCTCTTTACCAGTTTTGATACTCAATGTTATGATAACTTTATAAAGTGAATTTTGAAACAATCACTATTTTCTCTTTTCCTAAAACCATTATATAGTAAGGTAATCAAATATTCCTTAGAAGTTCATAAAACTGTTTCATAAAATCAGTCCAGCCTTTTTAAAGAAGTAATTCTGTTTCATTATTTTTTATGTTTATGGTCTGTTCAAGTTTCTCTTACCTTTTCTTGAGTGGATTTCTATTTTCCTAGGAAGTCATCTATATCATTCAGATTTTCAAATCTGTCAGTATAGGGCTGGATGTAGTGTTCCTATAAAGATCTCTCATATCTCAGATTATTTAGAAAAGCTTTTTAAAAATTCTAAATGACTGGGGTTTTATTTTCCTTTTGCTAATAATTTCTAATTTTATTATATTGTAGTCCAGGAAGTTAGCCTGTCCTATTTCTTACTTCCTTGAATTTGTTGAAGCTTTTCTTTCTTTCTATTTTAGGCAATATATAAGATCCGTTTTTGTAACCAATTCATGGATGTTTGACAGGATGTATGTTGTCCTATTATTTTATTGTAATGTCTGATCCTCTGTGTTCTTATTTACTTTCAATTTTCTCTTTTTATTTTTTTTAGGGCAAGTTTATTCGGATCAACTTTGACGTAACTGGCTATATTGTTGGGGCCAATATTGAAACATGTATCCTTTTTTATAAATTGCGTGATCCAAAATAATGATTTAGGCTTCCTACAACCTCGTGGCAACTCTCTGTGATATCACTCCCATTATCCAGAGACACTGTGACTTTTCAGCTACTGAATATTAACTCCAAAGTGTGTTTTGTTGTTGATGTTGTGTTTTTAAAACCAGGCCATCACCTACTGATATGGCTGGGAAGTAGACAGTCCTACACTGTGTGTGTGGCATGGGACATTCAGATGAATGTTGCATGCAACTGCTCTTCTGCTGTTGTGGTGTTGGTGCATTTTCTACCATCTACTTCTTTTTTTTTTTTTTTTGTCCTTTTTGAGACCGGCCGTGCTCAGCCAGTGAGCGCTGTGAGCGCACCGGTCATCCCTATATAGGATCCGAACCCGTGGGGTGGGGGGAGCACTGCTGCGCTCCCAGCGCTGCACTCTCCCGAGTGCGCCACGGGCTCGGCCCCTACCATCTACTTCTGATATTAGCAGGACGAGCATGTACTCTTTGAAATAAGCCATATAAAACTGCAGAGTTAAAGTAGTTTCAGTTAGTGTTAGGTAGAATAAAGCTAGAGGAAAAAATAAGATGTAATATACATAGACTAGTCCTAAGAAATGTCACATGCATAGAATGACCTTAAGAAATGAGAAGTATATATAAAGCAAGTTTGATTAGTGATATAGTAAAATAGAAATGATTCTAAATGATAGTGTCAGTTAGAAAGGGATACAGATGACAATTCGCTGATACTTGTTAGAATAATCTCCAGTGATAAAAATATACCTGAGAGATAGATCAAAATTTTCCTGTTAAGAATAGTATTTTATGTCTCTAATTATGCGCAGAGCCAGAAAAAAACAGACACACCTGAAAATGACAGGGGAATGAATCTACAGTTTAAGTTTCTTCACATTAGTTTGTTATAGCATCATTCATATGCATGTATTTTTCATCAGACATGGAGGATGTATTTGGGATAGTCTGATTTAAAATTTAAGCTGTGTGGCACATACAGAATTAATTCATTTTGGTGGCCCCAGGGAAGGTTTACCTCAAAAGAGGCAATCATCTTCCAAAGCAGTGAGACAGATTCTATGAGAACCCAGTGTGACATTGATGCATTGACACTCCAGGTGCATCAAGACACTATAAACCAGTCTCAGATCTGAGCCCCAAATACACTGGAGCTGGTTGTGACTGAGCTGCTTGCCCTCTGGGAAGCCCAGGCAGGGTAGGGAGCTACAGGCTGGCCGCAGTGGTTCTTCAGGGCAGCGAAGGGAAGGCCAGTGGTTAATCTAATCATGGGTGTCTCAAGGCATTTGGAAAAGTTCTGTGAGGTGCTGAAATGTAACAGGCTAGCGCCTAATATATGTGAGGCTTTCCATAAAGGGGACTCTCATGGTAACATGGTGACCAAGCTTGTAAATTTTGGGTCAAACCAAGTTTTTTTTTCCTTTCTTTTTTTTTTTCAGGATGGCTATAGACTCAGACCAAGTTTTGATTCCTAGCTCTACACCTACTTAGCTATGTTATTTTGACCAATTTCTCTGTGCCTTGGTTTCCTTATTTGTAAAATTGTGATAATTCTGGTGTTATAGGGCTTCTCCTGCCTTTAACAGCTGTACTTCATTTTTAGTAGCTTCTTATAGTTCTGTGTTCTGTGAATATAATCCAAGTTAGAGGTAGGGTGGGGTGGAGTGAGAGAAGCCTCATATAGTTTTTAAATCCCCTCCCAGTCCAGTGATTTCAGAGTATTAGTGTGAGTAACTTAAATTGCATATTTTTTCTTTTTTCACATATGAAACACAATAATTCATTGCAGAATAGTTGTTATATATCTATCAGAGAAAAAAATGTTTTAGAAATTAAAAGTGTAGACACTGAAAGAATACCCCCTTTTAAATAATTTAGTCCTTAACCATCTTTGCTCAGACCTTCTGGAAAAGTCTCGTGCTGTTCGTCAAGCAAAAGATGAGCGTACTTTTCACATCTTTTACCAGTTGTTATCTGGAGCGGGAGAACACCTAAAGTGTAAGTCACAAAGTTTTCTACTATTTTGTATTCATTTGAATATCCTTTTTAATATTAAAATTTTTTGAAAGAGAACAGTTTTGGGAAACAGCAGTTTTATACACATACACCAGATTTCTAGCTGGTTAAATTGTGAAAATGAAAATGAAATTGAACTTACATGCCATGGGGTTAGTACTTTAAGTGGCAGGTATGTGGGTGTTGTTATATTATCTTTTGTGGTTTTTTTTTTTAATTTTAAATTAGAAGACAAATGATGCATATATGTACAGTTCTGTTTCAGCATTTATAAATATAAAAGTAAGAAAAAATAAATTTACTTAATAAAATAAAGTAGAAAAAGTATTTTTATTCCTAAATTTACATCTGAATATGTATATTATGCTTCCAGTAGTACTAGGAAGAGCCTATGGTGGATATTTATTTATTTATTTATTGTCATGAATCACAAGAACTGGAAGCTTAGGGTTGGACAGGGTAAAAAGTAGAGTTCTGCTGTGGGTCAGAATTTTGCTGGGTCATATATATATATGAGAGAAGGTGCACCACTTCTCAGTCTCTTCTGAGTCTCAAATTCAGTGTTGTTTCTATATGATTATTATATATATAATCTAGATATTACAGTAGACAAATATACAGTAACACTTTTCTCATTTGGGGTCTATGCTTTGGCTAATCACAGGCATCTGTGAAAACATTGAACCCAAAAATTAATTAGAGAAAGTCCTGCAAGGGAAAAAATTAAGCAACAAGTAAATACAATAATTGCCAATTAGGGACTAAAAATTCAAGATTTTGCAATATATAATGCTGAAGAGAAGAAAACCCTCAGGGTTTCAGACTGGCAATAACTGCAATATGAGTGAATCAAAAAAATATCATCCAAGTGTTAAAAGGAAATAGAAAAAGAAAACAGTCCCCAGTAGAAGTGTTAAGTGTGATTTAGATAAGAAATAGGGGATAGGGTGATTAGCAGAAATTCTCTGCAGGACAGCAGGAGAGCCAGTTACAAAGAAAGCTGGGGGCACATCTAAGCATCTGTTATAGGGGTAAATAGTCCTATCTATTTGATTGCTCCTAAGAAACCTTTTTCTGCTCTCAAGAGCGCATTTGTCCAAAGAAGTTCTCTTTCATTCATGGTCCCTACATTACACGTAGTCAGTGGGGGTATCCATTGTAACATTCTGTCAGAGTATGACATGTTGCTCATCACTCTAAAGGCAAGTTAACCACTAAACAAAATGGGCTGGCAAAAGCATTTCAGGGCTTTTGTGTGTCTTGGAACTTGCTTGGTTCATATCCTATACCTTCTACATCCATATCTTTATCTTATGTTCATGGTAGTTTTCATATTTACCCCATAATGTTTGTTTTAAACTATTTGCTAAGAAAGGAATGTAGAATATGGGTTTAAAAGCTTTCCTTCAAAAGATGGCTAAAATATTTAAATCTGAAAATGATAAAGTTTAATTACATGGAAAGCTTATATCATTTGCCAGCTGTCCAATTTTAAATATAATACTGTACCAACCACTGTCCCAAAAACTCCTGTTGAGGTTTTTGTATTGTTTACATCATCATTTTCCTTTATTGGTACAGATAATGGAAAATTTTGTATGTTTGTATATTTACATGAACATATAAAGAAAGAAAAAGCATGTGTTGCTGATGGGTTGGATGGTGAACCCCTGTTCTCCTGTGTTATCAGTACAGTTTGAATGTGGATGTGATTTAGTCTGTTTATGAATATTTATTAAATTTTATTTCACTATATTTCCTTTTAGCTGATTTGCTCCTTGAAGGATTTAATAACTACAGATTTCTCTCCAATGGCTATCTTCCTATTCCGGGACAGCAGGACAAAGACAACTTTCAGGAGACCATGGAAGCAATGCACATAATGGGCTTCTCTCATGAAGAAATTCTGTGTATGTTTGATTTCTCTAAGATTCTGATACTCACTTTCATAAGACATAAATTTGGGTTAAATAACCTAAGCTAGAACATGATTAGAAAACTAATAAGAACTGCTTGTAATTCTGTGAATTCCTGAGACCTACCTTACTGAAAAGTTTTGTACAGCTAATTTTTAACAAAAAATAAATTAGAATTATGTCTCTGCCACCTTTTGGTACAATATTTTTATTAATTCTTTTTCTTTTTATCAATATGAAGCAATGCTGAAAGTAGTATCTTCAGTGCTACAGTTTGGAAATATTTCTTTCAAAAAGGAGAGAAATACTGATCAAGCTTCCATGCCAGAAAATACAGGTAAACTGATGAGTACTGTTTTTATTTCTGTTTTGTTGGTTTGTTGTGTTCTCCAAAAATGTGTTACAGTGCAAGCATAAAACCACCTCTGAAGCATTTCCCAAGGGACTCTCAAGAGTAGAGGCAACCTCACATGCCTACATAAGGACCCACCTGATTCTATAAATGAGGGGAGAAAACGGGGTATAGGATGAAAAGTGGCAGCAGCTGCTCTGCCTTAGCATAGGGGAGGCATTAGGAGTTGGAGGGAGAACTGAGCTGCAGAGTACGCAGCTCCCCTGAAAGGGAGCTGCAGCTGCTGAGTTCCAGCCAGTTTTACCTTGCTAGGAATATAGGCCCAGTGTTGCCGGATGTAATTGATTTTTCAAAGAAAGCAGGAAATCTAGATTTTAGTTGAAGTCTATCCATTTTTAAATGTTGAAAGTGGATTTAAGTTTATACTGGTCAGGAACAAAAGATTGTGAACCAACAAAATGTGTTTGCAAGCCTTGTCAACTGTTGATTTGCTTCCAATGGGCTGGAGACAAAGAGAAATGAGGAATCTCTGTATCACCATTACCTAGAATGCTTGATTACCCAAATAAGTTACGTTGCCTCACAGGGGACAGCCACAATCCACTGTGGCTAATGAAGACTGACATAAAGTTGCATCATCTGCCCTTGACATAGTCCTTCTTTTTTGAAACCAATTTGAGGCCCATTAACAATTTAATTCTGTGTGACACGTCTGAGGGGCCTGCCTCTCCTGCTGCAGCGTGGTCACCATTTCCTGACCACACCGTGACACATCATTCTAGAGCTTTTGACTGCCAGGACCATGACATCTATTATTCAAAGTAGTTTGGTTGTCATGTGGCCTGTGTTCTCCATATGACTTTCACATGGTGAAATATGACTTAAAATGGAGCAATTTAAGATTTAAAGTGAGGCATATATTAGTATAGCTTGGCTCTGAAATCTTAAAATGACCCACAGATGGAAGAGGATCAGGTTACTGTTCTAAAAGGAAAGGTGGGCAAATGCTGACGAGCGGTCTCCTATTGCATAAAAATGAGTATGTTAATAATTTGAAAGAATGGAAGGTATTTTTCATCAGACCCAAAACTTGTCTAACTTTAAGACTTTTATTTAGTTTATTTCTTAACACAATTTAATGATCACTAAGGTTTTTCAAGTGTTTATTGACGATACTGTGACTAAATCATAAATAGAAATGTAGTATTTAGGCGTGTTTTACACTTCAGTTGCACAGAAACTCTGCCATCTTCTCGGAATGAACGTGATGGAGTTTACTCGGGCTATACTTACCCCCCGGATCAAGGTTGGCCGAGACTATGTGCAGAAAGCCCAGACCAAAGAACAAGTAAGTTTAATATTAATTGTTATTACAGATTAGTTCGAATGATAAGCTGTGGTCATTTGATCTTCTGATTGACATGACATGTCACAAACTGAATCAATAAAAACCATATGGGGCTGGCCAGTTAGCTCATTTGGTTAGAGCACAGTGTTATAACATGAAGCTCAAGGGTTCAGATTCCCATATCAGCCAGCTACAAAAACAAACAAAAAAACCCACCTCTATTATTTGGATGTTTCTTGGTACTAATTGAGTATTTTTTTTTTCCTATATTATATTTACTTTTTCTTTTTTCAGAAAAATTCAAAAGGTCATTAAAAAACCCACCTCTATTATTTGGATGTTTCTTGGTACTAATTGAGTATTTTTTTTTTCCTATACTATATTTACTTTTTCTTTTTTCAGAAAAATTCAAAAGGTCATTTAAAAAAAAAAGGAAATTTGAAATATCATCTCCAGTTTTCTCCAGGTAGAGAGATTATCCAATAGACAAATCTGTATATTCAGGAGCCAGACCAGTAGAAGGGCCACTGCTATCTTATCCCTGTGCTGGGTGGTACAACAATAAAAGCATAGGATTGCATTTATCCATTTAATTGTGGGCTATTTTAAGAAATACATTACTAGCTTTGACTAAGAAGTTTGGTAGGTGATTGATGAGAAAGTGCCCACTAACCGAACTAACTCTACGGAAATAATACTGCTCAGAGCCCCAGGGACATGGAGAGGAGTTTGTTTTTACTGGGCATCTTCCCTAAATCAATTATCTCTAGTGTTCATTTAATTGTACTAATAATGCCCCCTATTTATGCTTAAAATTGAGACATGATTAAACAGTAAATGAAATTTCAGATTTTTTTGAGTACCGTATAACATTACACTCCATATAACAGCTATTAATGCTTTGTTGAGATTGTTTCCAGAATAGGAGGTTGATGTTGTGTAATTACAGGCAGATTTTGCAGTAGAAGCACTAGCAAAAGCTACCTATGAGCGGCTCTTTCGCTGGCTCGTTCATCGCATCAATAAAGCTCTGGACAGGACCAAACGTCAGGGAGCATCTTTCATTGGAATCCTGGATATTGCTGGATTTGAAATTTTTGAGGTATTCCTCTCTTTATCCCTCCTTCCTGCTCTTCCTTCTTTTTGTTTATTCTTTTAACAAATAGTAAGGCTCACTATGTACCAGGTACGGGGTGAGGCCCCAGAGATAAAACAGTAAATAAGCAAGCACAGTCCTGCCATGCTAGTGGAGTCACGAAATAAATGGCAGATAACCACTAAATCCGTGAATTGTGAATGATGCAGTGAAAGGGTGCTGTGACAGGAAGAATAGGGGAGGCCTGTTCACGTCAGGCGTTCTTTAGTAGTGACAGGCAGATTTGCAGGATGAGAAGCCACCAGCCTCAGTAAGTTTTCCTAGCACAATAGAGTAAATCCAGTGGTCCTGTATGAGAGAGAACTTATCAAATGTGAGAAGCTGCTAGAAAGCCAGTGTGACTAGACATAGCTGACCAGAGGGAGAAAGGAGTTGGAGGCATGGAGTGTGATATAGGGCCAAAGTAGAAGTTGGGAGACTGTTGAGGAGGCCATCGTTGGAGCCCAGAGGTGGGAAGGTGGTGGCTTGGCTTGGGAGTCAGGGAGTGGCAGCGTGAGAGGGACATGTGGAGAGATAATGTGATCCATGTTCTGCAGGTATGACAATAGTGATACATTTTAGTGTATTTTATTATTGATCTGACTAGATGTCTCCAAACACTTATTCACCATCAACGTAGCAAAGTTTGTGGTCACACACCTGCTATGGTTTTGCAGAATATAGTTGATGAAATTTTGATCTCCTAAAAATTTATCCTTTTCTCTACTTTGGTAGACTATATAATAAGGTACACATATTAAATCAAACACTTCTTGAGATGAGTGTGCTACTTTAGCCACTATTGGGTACTGAATTTTCTTGTTTTAAAATGAACCCCTTTAAAATTTTAAGTCTGTCCTCATAAAAACTGAACTGTTACTGAGATAAGCAGTTTCATGTACTGAACTGCCACTCTTAAAGATTGCTTTAATATGTACTGATTTGTAAATAACTTGAGAAATCATAAAAAACTAGCTGGGTACAAATTGCATTAAAAAAAATCTGTCACCTTCTATATAAACAATCAGAAATATAATGAAAGAAAAAACCTATTTCCAGCTGCAACGAAAACAGATGAAATACCTAAAGTAAATTTTAAAAGAAACAGGAAAGATTTAGATGATGATAACTTTATAATGGTACTATGAAAAACAGAAAAAGACTTGAACAAATAAAGAGACATTCTGTTCTTGATAGAGAAATTTGGCTTCATAAAGGTGTAAATCTTCCCCAAAGCCATCTATAAATTGGACATACTTGTTTAAAACCTCTTAATAGGATTTTTAAGGGAAGAAGGAGACTAAGCAACCGTTTTCTAAAATTAATTTGAAAAATAAATTAATAAAAAATAAAGAGTAGACAGTAAAAAAAATTCTGGAAAAGAAATGAAAATATTCAGATCCCCATACTGGCTAGCCATAAAAAAAAAAAGATTTGAGAGTATTAAAATATATAAGACATACTACAAACCTATAGAACTTCAATAAGAATAGTTTTAACATATGAATATACAGATAGTAGAAAAATGTATGTAGATACTAAAAACACAAAGTTGTTATAGTGAACAGTATTTGTCATGAGAAAGAAAAGAATGGAAAAAGCCTAAATGTCCATCTGCCATTAGGAGTTAGTCTATTAATTATGATATATCCATACAGTGGTATCCTAGGAATTCATTATAAAGAATGAGGTAGCTTTATATACTGATAGGGAAAGACTCCGACATACATTGTTAAGTTAAAAAAAGTCAAGGTTATGCACACATTTATGAGTGCATATAATATATCTGGAAGGATCACAAGAAATAGGTGATACTGGTTGACTATAGGGAGAATGAGTAGGGGACTGAAGTGAGACTGACTTTTCAACGCAACTCTTTGTACATTTAAATTTTATACCATGCATTATCAATTTAAAATCAATGATTTGAAAATGTAGTTGGGGGCCAGCCCCGTGGCGCACTCAGGAGAGTGTGGCGCTGGGAGCGCAGCGACGCTCCCACCGCGGGTTCGGATCCTATATAGGAATGGCTGGTGGGCTCACTGGCTGAGCGCGGTGTGGGCGACACCACACCAACGGTTGCGATCCCCTTACCGGTCATGAAAAAGACTCCTATATAGGAATGGCTGGTGGGCTCACTGGCTGAGCGCGGTGTGGGCGACACCACACCAATGGTTGCGATCCCCTTACCGGTCACGAAAAAGACAAAAAAAAAAAGAAAAAAAGAAAATGTAGTTGGTAGTTTAAATAAGGAAGACAAGTAGAAATTTAATTTTTAATAAAATACCATTACAAGTAGTAGCCCAAGATAAATAGAGCAATAAGATGTCATAATCCTAAGGCAAAGCAAAATCCATTTACACAAACATGGATAAGCACAATCAGGCGAGTCTGTAAATATTTATGTGGCTCGTCTTATGTGCTAGTTAGTAGGAATACAGTGTTAAGCAAGGCAAATGCTGCCCCTGCCCTCCTAGCATGACTTCATTCTAAAATATCAAATATAACAGCTACATCTGGGTGTGAAAATTGGAATGGCTTTTCCAGACTGTAAATCTGTTCCTTGGAGATTGATTAAAACCTCTCTAATTGAAAGTCACTTTTTACAATGAAAAAGGTTATTTATGGGCACATGCTACTCATGTCAACAGTGTGGAGGCAGGAAAAAGGATAAGTACTTGCAGTGTTAGGATGATTACTTCAAGAGAATTACATGTGATTTCATCCATCTGCCCATTCCTCCAGTCAACACCACAATAGAAACATGGACAGAGTTCACAGGAACGGAACAGAACGGCTGTAACACATGAAAAAAATGCTCAAATGCACGTTATGAGAGCAGTGCAGTATCACTTTTGATACTGGCAGAGTTCAAACATTTGGGAAGAGCAGGGAATGCACAGAGAAGCAGCAGAGCCTTGCACTTGTCGGGCAGGGCTGAGCTCCCAACAGCAACTTTACTGTGAAGGATGGTTCTTTTCTTGCCTCGCTCTGGAGCCCACAGCTCAGTGAGGAGCAGGAAGGGACAGAACCAGGCGAATCCCCTCCCACCTCACAGGCGTGCTCGCTCACCTCACTTTGCCTCTGGCCTTCCGAAGTCTCTGTTTTTCGCCTTTTTTCTTCTCATTTATTTCTTCATTTCTATTCCTTAACCATTCATTAATAAGAACTGAGTTGTTCGCTTTGTAGAACATTCAATTAGCATGCTAAGTTCCTTATTTTCTCATTTTGGCAGTTCAGCAATGTGACATGGCCGTATGTTGTTCTTCCACTTTACGTTTCAAAAAGACTTAAGGTGTGTGACTGTATGTGAGGGAGAGACAGAGGTTGAGACCTCTTTGTTTAGTTAATGTCATTAGAATCAATAATGTAGTTGATAACCTAATTAATAATTTTGAATGAATTTTTTTGGTAACTAGATGGCTAATTATTCCTATTTTCCCTCCCCCTTTCCATGTTTGGAAAATTATTTTTTGTAGCTGAACTCTTTTGAACAACTTTGTATCAATTACACCAATGAGAAGCTGCAGCAGCTGTTCAACCACACCATGTTTATCCTAGAGCAAGAGGAGTACCAGCGCGAAGGCATCGAGTGGAACTTCATCGATTTTGGATTAGATCTGCAGCCGTGCATTGACCTGATAGAGAGACCCGTAAGACATTTTGGCTTTGGCTTTCCGTTCCTATTCAAGCACCTTAAGTTTTTTTCTTCAGTGTTAAAATAATTTTCTAATCTAAATTTTCTCGGAAGGTAATTAATACCCTGATAAAATAGTTACTTTAAGTAGCATTCCAGTAAACTCTTTCTTGAGCTCTCCTTTCTTGCAGTGTTATTCCTATCCCTGCATGTGTGCCATATTGGACGATGTCCTCTGGTCCTCACATACTGCAGACGCCCTGTGGTAGTGGCATTTGTGGAGCTCCACCTGGCACACTTCCTAGGTAATACAGGGACACTTCATTTAGCTGAGAACAAGACATGTCATATAGATCCATTTTTCAAATAATTAAAGATTACCCTTGTAAGTACAAAGATGACTTTATTTTGGCTAATTTTTTTTTTAATTTCAAGTTTCAGTTTTTGGGCGGTTCTTTTGGCAGATTTTTTTTTCTACTTATTTATTTTTAAAAATTGGGGGGGCAGTTGGCCTGTATGGAGCACTATTTTTTTCTCTTTTACTTTCAGTAGTTTCATTTTTTTTATTTATTTATTTTTAATTTATAAAACATAATTGATTGTACATGTCTGTGGATTCAGCATTGAATATCAGTACCAGTGTGCAATATGTGATGCTCAAATTGGGATAATTAGTATATTCAGCATTACACAAAGTAATCATTTTTTGTGGCCTTTTGCCAATTTCTCTTCCTCCCCTTTCCCACCTCTGGTAGCCTCAATTCTGTTCTCTCCTTTTGAAAGTTCAACACTCTGGGTAGTATGGACATTTTCACGATGTTAATTCTTCCAGTCCAAAAGCATGGAATGTCTTTCCATTTTTTTGTGTCCCCTTTAATTTCTTTCAACAATGATTTATAGTTCTCATCATAGAGATCTTTCACCTCCTTGGTTAAATTTATTCCTAGGTATTTAATTTTTTTAGTGACTATTGTAAATGGGCTAGCCTTCTTGATTTCTTTTTCTGCTACTTCATTGTTGAAGTGTAAAAATGCTATTGATTTTTGTGTTGGTTTTGTTTTCTTTGTAGCTTTACTGAAATTGTTTATCAACTCTTAAGAGTTTTTTGGTAGAGTCTTTAGGTTTTTCTATATATAGGATTATGTCATCTGCAGACAGGGACAATTTGACTTTGTCTTTTCTAATCTGGATGTCCTTTATTTCTTTCTCTTGCCTGATTGCTCTGGCTAGTACTTCCAGTACTTTGTTAAATAGGAGTAGTGAGTGTGGGCATCCTTGTCTTGTTCCCATTTTTAAGAAAAGAACTCAAAGCCGTTCCCCATGCAGGATGATATTGGCAGTGGGTTTGTCATATGTGGCTTTTATTTTGTTGAGATGTCAGATGCTTTCTCTGCATGTATTGTTATAATCATATCATTTTTGTCCCCGATATTGTCAATGGGGTGTATCACATTTATTGACTTGTATATGTTGAACCATCCTTTTATCCCTGGGATGAATCCAACTTGATTGTGGTGTATAATTTTTTTGATGTGTTGCTGTATTTTATTTGCTAGTATTTTGTTGAGGATTTTTGTGTTTATGTTCATCAAAGATGTTGACCTATAGTTTTCTTTTTTTGTTGTGTTTTTGTCTGGTTTTGGTATCAGGTAATTGATGCTGTCCTCATAGAATGAATTTGGGAGAATGACTTCTGATTCAATTTTTTGGAATAGTTTGAAGAGAATTGGTACCAATTCCTTTTTAAAGGCTTGGTAGAATTCAGCAGTGAAGCCATCCAGTCTTGGGCTTTTCTTTGTTGGGATACTGCTGATTAGTGCCTCATTCTTGTTGCTCCTTATTGGTCTGTTCAGGTTTTCTATGTCTTCTTGGTTCAGTCTTGGTAGTTTGTATGTTTCCAGAAATTTATCCATTTTCTCCAGGTTTTCAAATTTGTTGGCGTATAGTTGTTTATAATGGTCTCTAATGATTCTTAGTATATCTGTGGTACCAGTTGTAATGTCTTCTTTTTCATTTCTAATTTTTTTTGTGTGGGTCTTCTCTCTTCTTTTTTTAGATAGCCTAGCTAATGGTTTGTCTATATTGTTTATCTTCTTGAAAAACTGTCTGATCTCAAAAAGACAGAATAACAAATGCTGGCAAAGATGTGGAGAAAGGGGGAACCCTTCTACA